TCCGTAAGAATGTCAAGCAGAGCAAGCCCTTAAGCAGCATAAAAACCATCACTTGCATTAATTAGAAACAATTATTTGATATGCATAACCCCTCCATTAGCACCAGGTTTCAGCACCAGTTGCGCTCCATGGAACCTAATCCAGATGAGTTGTAGGTAGCACACCCTTCCAGTTGTGAGGATAGGAAATAAGAAAGTTTATAATCGTAGGAAAACCCGTCGGCGTCCCTTACACTCACGAAATCTCCGTCTTCGTGCCATCAGGCGAAATGCCGTGTTGTTCTTTCTTTATAAACATGTTTACGGCTTAGTGCCGCCTAATGCTTCCTTCAAATTGATACTCATACTTCGACCTTGTGAGTGGGAAAGCCGATTTATCCGGCCGAGGCTTTAATACGAAGCCTCTCGATTCAGACGACTTTGGCATTCTACCAGATTCTACCAGTGAGCAGCCCCATTCTAAGGTGCAAAGTAATAGATAGCAACGATACCTGGAATCCTTCTAATTCAGAGATGAACTTGGCAATATAAAAAGTTTTTCAAAACTATGATTTGAGCAAAAATAAGTCACACAATGGATGAGTCTATAATAACGCGATTCATTGCATCCTCCAGGTACAAGTAACATGGCACAGTGCCTAACAGGTCAATTAAACCATATTCAAAATAAAGCCGTCAGGTGTTAATTAACTAGCATAGAAATTAACAGTAACATTCAACAGAACGTTGGAAATGAAATTTATTTCGTTATGAAAAGACATATAGTCTTTCAGGCCAAAGAAGTCTTCCAGTTCAATCGCCTTAGGCACTGAGAAAGTTTAAATTTCGTTCTGTCGTTCAGAATCCTTCACTGCCACTGCCTTGGAATTGTTATTCTCTTTTCAAAGGCTACGCGGAATGATGAGAGATGTTCATCGGCCTTTCCTTGAGGAAGGAGGTCTGTTTTTTCGTTCCTGGCAATAGTTTATGTTTGTGAACAACTTTTACTTGTTAAACTGTTAAAGTGGTTCTAAATCTGTTTGAAATGTGAAAGGTTACTGTAGTACAATTGGAAGTTAAAGTTTCGCAAACTTTTGCAACCCGCAGTCCAGAGCCTGCGATGTCATTGTCCAGCTGAAAAATGACCAATGGACAAGGTATATTTCAAGATAATGCAAGAGCAAGGAGACATTAGACTTTGTTCCAAGTGAGAGTAAGCTACCCATAGGGAGACCTCCAAAAACTGATGGCAGGAGGAGCTAAAGAAGTTTGCTGGATTGAGAATTAAGATAGATACAAATCGACAAAACAGAAGTTTATGCAAAGTCTTGGAGAGGCATCCATCCAGTTAATCGAAATACCGGCATGGAACTCTAGGGCATAATGGATGGTAAATTTATAGATGAAACATTCTGAACCCCTGATCAGCCACAGGCGTCTACTTATCCCCGGTCATGTTGTCCAGATGGATGATTCTGACGTTGAACACCAGGCTGTGATAATTACAGCTTCCGTCAGAATACAATGACGAACGTACTGGTAAAATCTGAACCAAAGAAGAATATACG